GTCCAGAACATCCAGAACATTTCTGTGGAGTTTGTGGTAGTATCCACGAAGGTCGCCTTGTGCTGGGCCTCTCGGAGCGCAATGCTGTCACAAAACTCCTTCACCCTTGCCATACAGAATTGTACATCCAATGTTTTGTTTTGTAGTATTGCAAAAAGCACATCTGAATGCTCAAAAATCCCATTACATGTGTGAAGCAAAAAACAAAACTCAAAATCATCCAGACGTGCATTAAATCCATCAGCACAACGCACAGCGTCCTCATCATACTCATCATGATGTTCCACGATGTGGTGAAATATCTCCTTTAGGGCAACTCTGTTCTCAAAGACTGTACTGACCAATCTCGATGTGTATTACCACCGCGTTGGTGACACACGAGGAAGACGCCGCTGGCAAATATCGTCCAGTAGTTGCGTGCGCCTAGGGGATCTGGAGAAAAATGCAGCTAGGCCATTTAGGTGAGCAAAAAATATCTTGCATTCTTTGAGCTTTGATGCCCCTTGAGTCAGTACTAAATTCAGCCGATGTGCATAGCAGTGTATGAATAAGGCCATAGGTGCCCTCTCCTTAACTTTAGCCTGCACCCCATTTAGTCCAGATGACATGACGGCTGCGCCATCGAAACACTGTGCCATAACTTTATCTAGACATTCATATTCCTCCAAGAAACGGACAATAAGAGCAGCAATGTCATTGGCTCGCTTGCCACTAGTAACATCTTCAAATCTGACAAACCGCTCCTTGACACCTGTGTCCGTCACATAACGCAGGACCAGTGCGAGCTGCGCTGCATTACTCACGTCTGTGGTCTCGTCTACCATGACAGCGACAAAAGGTGCTTTGTTGATCTCCCCTTTTATCTCTTCTCCCATCACTTCAGCAATAGCATTAATCAGGTCGTTTTGTATTTTGCCTGACGTCCCACAAAACACTTTGTTAGTGGACAGGTGGTAATGTAAGTCTGTGTTGTTTTCAGCAATAAAAGAAAGAAGCTCCAAATAATTGCCTCTATTTGTGGATCCAGCGCTTTCATCGTGCCCTCTAAATGAAAGTTTCTGTTTACCCAAAAATATAACACAGTCTATTAGTCTTTTACTTGATAAAAAAAAAAAGACATTCTTGATGACGTATGCAGACTACAAAATGAGACGCAGCGAACATAATACAGAAACGCGTTTGAAAGGGATTTGAAATGAAGGCAAATTGTGTTTTTGTTTTCAAACAGGTGGTAATGTAAGTCTGTGTTGTTTTCAGCAATAAAAGAAAGAAGCTCCAAATAATTGCCTCTATTTGTGGATCAGCGCTTTCATCATGCCCTCTAAATGAAAGTTCCTGTTTACCCAAAAATATAACACAGTCTATTAGTCTTTTTAATCACTCTGTTGTACAGGTTATCTGTGCGTTTCAGTTCCAACAATAAGTCCTTTTCTATTGCCATGGATGCTAATGCTGAAAGTCGAGACTATCCAGTCATATTTCTGGCATAAGTTTTAATTCGCTTTAGGGCTGAGAATGTCCGTTCGACAGAAGCAGTGGACACAGGGATAGTCACCGCCAAACATGTCAATGTGTACAGCTGCCTCATGCTATAAATGAACTTTTCCACGACATTCTAATTTGCGCAAAACCACGATCATATTTTGCGCAGCTTGTCTGTGAACAACGGCTCTGTGTAGTTAATGCTGCTCCACGTGAAAGCACGCACGTGTAGAGATTTACCGCTGATTACAGAACCGGCTTTACTGACGAGATGCGCATTAAATATCGTGCGATATTTATCGTGCAGCCCTAATATATATATATATATATATATATATGTATATATATGTATATACACACACACACACACATACACACACATATATTGTGTGACTGAGGCATACAATATAGGACATCTACCAAATCACATCAGTTAAAATAGGTGAAATCACTTGACTTGATAACTCTGTGCATACAGTTACATAAAGTTATTAGTACTTAGGTGAATGGATTTCCTAACAAAGGCAACAGAAAGGGTGTTGAAATGATTCTAATGTTTTTAGCAACCTGACAACATAGGTGTGCTGCTTACCTCGAAGTAACAGTTTCCCTTTGATAAGGGGCGTGGAGCCACGTAACAGCCAACTTCATCAGAGTTCCCTTGGTAACTACAGAAGGGAAGTAATAAAAAGCTTAAACTCTAATAACCAGAGCACTGTTGCTATAGGTACATTATTAAAATGTCCAGTGATGTGTGGACTAGCTGTTGAAATCAGGTTCAGTTATGTTTCTACATGTTTCACACTGATACGGGTGAGAGCTACTTTTGGAGCCCTACTTTTGAAGACCAAACAGCAGTTCATTTTCCAAGAATTCAAGCCAGAACTAATTCAGAAAGATCAAGTTACCACAGAGCTGTCAATGCTACTGATCTTCAATAATACTATTTGAACTAAAGGCATCATAAAATGTAGAGCAAAATGCTATGTAAACAAATAGTTCAGCCACAAATATTGTTCCAAAATGAAAATAATAATAATATTCACATACATACATATATACTGTATATATACATACAGTACCTTGCGAATGTACCCCTTCATTTTTTTCACATTTTGTTTTGTTGCTGCCTTATGTTAAACTGCTTTAAATTAGTTTTTTTTTTCACAACAATCTACACTCCATACACCATAATTGTAAAGTTCAAATTCACTTTTGTTGTTGTTTGAACATAAATGTGTGTTGGAAGTGTGTGTACACATCCACCCTATAATGATAAAAATCCACCCAGTGTTTTTTTTTTTTAATCGCTATTTTAAAATCCCCTTTCTCAAATCAGGCTGTTCTGAGATTCCTGTCAGAATGACGTAGTTCTGCACAGGCCCCTCCCACGATAGTTGATTGACAAGGCCGTCTTCACTTAGACCTGCCCTGAGTGAGCTGAGAGCTGTACGCCATTGTGTCGACTCCAGCGCAGGGGAAGAATGCCTCCAATTAAGCGGTTGAGGTGTTTTGTTGCTGGATGTAATAATGAACATACCAGCCGTCATTTACTCCCGACATCTGAGCCGCTGAAGACGCAGAGGATTAATGTTACTTTCGTTTTTGAAAGGAATGCGCTGATCCCCGATCTGCCTAAATGTGTTTAAGTTCGCAAATCGCCTTTCCTAATATGTGCTAGTTAACAAGTTTTGCGGCTGAAGTTTACAGTCTGCTTGTCACCCCACAGAAGAGAGGGGCGGAGTCAGCAGAGCTCATTAGCATTTAAAGCTACACGGACTAGAACGGCGTGCTGAAAACAGAGCTGATTTTGACACGGTAAAAAGGGTGTTTTTTACCGGTGAAGTCGTTCCAGTAATTTTACGGCTAATTTACTAGTATTACTGTGTTAAAGGGGCTATTGTTTCCACAGAAATATTAAGACAACTATTTTCAACATTGATAATAATAAGAAATGTTTCTTGAGCAGCAAATTTAATTTTTTTTTTTTTATGCATTTAGCAGACGCTTTTATCCAAAGCGACTTACAGTGCATTCAGGCTATACATTTTTTACCAGCATGGTAAATATGATATATATGATATATATATATCATGGTTTCCACAAACTGTGATATTAAGCAGAACAAATGTTTTCAACACTAATAATAAAAATAAAATGATTTTTGAGAACCAAATCAGCATATTAGTATGATTTCTGAATGATCATGTGACACTGAAGACTGGAGTAATGATGCTGAAAATTTAGCTTTGCCTCACAGGAATAAATTACATTTTGAAATAGGCGAAACCAATCCGATGTATAGTTGACATTTGAGGCTTAATACTACAGAAAAGCAATAAATGTTTTTCAGTTAGTGTTTTCAGCTTGTTTATTTTCATATAAAAATATGGCATGCAGTTGCTTCAAACAAAGGTGTAAACATCATTCATTTAATCGCAAATTAATAATCGCAATTACAATTTCAAAGGAATAAACGACAATTATGATTTTGGTCATAATCGTGCAGCCCTATTTTGAAATTAGGGATGGGCGATATGGGCTTAAAAATATATGACGATATTTCTGGGATTTATTGCGGTAACGATATCAATGACGATAATTCAGGGAATCCTGTTTCTTTAGAGAAAAGTATTATCTTTCCTATTTTTACCCAAAATAGGGTGTTGTGAGCATTAATGAGTACACAAGTAATGTAAAGACTGTTTAATTCATACTGAAAACCGGAGGGCGCTCTTGCACAGAAATCCATATATCCATATCAGAAGTAATACTACTGACGACGCTCCAGAAAGGTATCCAGTTATCGCTGAATAAAACGCACAACGGCGATAGAGACATTTTAACTGATGAAACTTGAGGAAAAAAAACATACAATTGCACAAAATATATGGTTTATCTGTGTTCTTCAATCTTAGGGAATTTTTATAAGGAAAGTATATTTACTGTACAGCCCTAACCAAACCAGTTACAGATTGTAAAATGAGCTCGAGCTCCTCATTTAGCGATATAGGCTATTCCTCTTCAATTTGACGACTGCCTTCCGCGATGTCGCTCCGCACTGTCGCACACAGAAATATGTCAACAACTAGACTTTTTCGTCATTATCGTGGGAAGTCTAATTCTTATCATGGGGAGAATTTTTACCGGTATATCGCAAACAATATCGCCCATCCCTATTTGAAATATATTAAAACAAAAAAACAGTTATTTGAAATTGCAATAGTATTTCACAATATTGCTGTTTTATTGTATTTTTAATCATATTAAAGCAGCCTTGGTGAGGACAAGAATCTTCCAAAATATTTGTAAAAAATCTCAATATAATTCTTTACAATATTTTTGAGAGTAATATTCCTTTGAAGTCAGTGAACACATTTTTTGCACACTTTGAATTCTCAAACTGGACAAACAAACTGATACAAATTAATTCTGAAAATGCTGGAGACTTCGCATTTAAAAAAAGATGAATTACAACATCACATGTGCGGGCCTATTTATTTTTCCGATGGATGGAATTTGCATTTCATCCCTATTCTGATAAAAAAAAAACAAGTAGTCACTGACTTTTTCTCTGAAATTATAATTGTTCCAATCAGTGAGGTCAAGTGAGTCGAGGCTGATTACATCTTTAGTGGCTCAAATACACGCACTCACAATGCTTTACGCTCGCAAGCCCAGCTCAATGATATTGATGGGAGTGAATGGTTGTGCAGTTCAAAATATACAAATAAATAAGGATAAATGAAAAGCAGTGCAGAATTTTTCCATACAAACTAGGGGGGTCAACACAGGCCAGGAGCTGATTACCGAACACAGTGGAAAAAGAACAGAGCTAGGGTCACTTGCTGGGCAAACCTACCTTAGCGTGTCTCCATTCTTCAACATTCGTTTGCATCGCTCTTGATAACGAACAGCACGGACTTCCCTGATTTCTCTGATCCTGCGCCGCCAGTTCAGAAATCTGTAGTGTAAATTGATATCATCCATCTCATAGATCTGTGGAGTGGAAAACAGACGCTGTAAGTTTTAAAGGTTTCAGATTGAGCATCTGAGATTCACAACTCATTCAAGACACGAGAAGTGTAAGTAATGATGGACTTGCTGTTCACAAATTGCCATAATGAGCTGTGGACATATCATACGGCTTTTAGCCATTTTCTAATCATGTTTTTAGTTTTTTAACTACTAGTGCAGGGTTTCCTAAACAGGAGTTCATGAGATGATGAAAATTAACTAATAATAAATTAAATTGAATGTAAAATTAAAATTAACAAATGGAGCTGCACAATTAATTTAAATGAACTGAAATCGCAACATACATATCTTGTCAATTTGCATTCACATTAAATTCTGGTTCTAACAAACTCCATCTCTGTATATGCTAGATTCACTTTATTCACATAACTTGCAGAATTTTTGTGGACAGAAGTTTAAAACAATTGACCAGTATTCCTCCAAAATAAAAGCTTGAGGATTTGAAATGTTAAAAGCTTACTGGTTTGAATGTTTGAATGTAAAACATAGGCTAAATATTACTGTTGTAACTTTAAGTGTAAAATAGGATAACATTATAATTATTAATGTAAACAAGTTTTATTCTACAGTACAATTGTAATATATTTCTGCATTTATTTGTTATAATTAGAGTTAAAACTAATAATCATGCTAAATGCTAACCGAGACTTGTCATTTGCACTTATATATTGCTGCTCTTTTGTTAGTTTTGACTGCTTTTATTGTCCTCATTTGTAAGTCGCTTTGGATAAAAGCGTCTGCTAAATGACAATGTAAATGTAATAAAAGTACTTATTAATATTATCAAGTTTAACATTATTATATTCTATTTGATTGGGTTAGTACAATGTAATGAACTAAAAAGAGTTTTAAGTCTATTTACAGTCCAGCATATTCTGCTAAATTTGATCACTGAAATCATCACAATATATGACAAAATAGTTACAATGTAATTTCTGGCCAAGTCGTGCAGCCCCACATATAAATAATAATAATTTTTTTTTAAATGATTCAAGTAAAAATTTAACATCTAAGGTTCTCGGCTGACAAAAAAAGTTAGAGAACTACTACTCTAGTAGTAAGTGAAGTGAAGTGTGCAATGGTTTGGAAATGGGATGCATATTTTCTCCCCACCTACACCTAAGATGAACAACACTCAGCACTAAATACTTAATCATCTTGAGTCAACTATATAAAGTTCCCCAGTATCAGTCGTTCACAAAACATTTTATTTTATCACAGGGCCTTATTGTCATATTTGGCCTATACACACATGCAACAAATGACACTACTAGGAGGAGTTATCTATAAAGGTCTCGACAGATGTAACGTGTCAGCTGTCATTCATACATCCAGGATATGACAGAGGATAATTCTAGATTGTCATAATTATCATGTAATCACATGGTGGCACTTCCTACAGCATTTAGCAACAGATACAGATATTATTTGTTTCTCATAAAAAGTCAGACAGACTTTTAAACACTGACTACATCAATGCTATAGTGTCAACAATAAACTATTACTTACCTATGTTACAACAGTGCACTATTTAAATAATATTTGTATGTTTAAAGAAACGTTTGTATCATATTTGACACAGAAGGAAAATAATTTTTACGTAATAGATGCAATAGCTCGTACTAGCAGGTTAGTTTCAATCACAGCTAATCACCTTGCACAGCTAACAAATTATTAGCTTTGAGGCCTACTCGAAATAAAATACAAAAATTACAGAACCGCTAAATGTCTACAGTCATTAAAGTGTAACGTATCTAAATATTATGCCGTCACGTACGTACCTTCTGTACATCAGTGGGTAAGACGTTAAAACATTCTAAGGCCACTTATGTTTACTTCTAGCTACCGACTCCAGCTAAGCTACCTGACAAACTTGGCAGAAGTGAGAGCGGCTCTTCCTGGATGGCGTCAGTGGAGGAATGAATGCAGCGCACCAATGAAAGGCGACACGGAGTTGATTGACAGCCGTTTGACCAATGAGAAACTTCGCAGCGAGTCGCAGAGGTTTTTACGAACTGTGCAGGAAAAACAAGCTTTTGATACATTTTACATCCTACATATAATTTTATAAGCATGAATAAAGCATAAAGTATATAAATAATTTTTCAAAACCTTCTGAAAATGAGAACATTGAGGAATACTTTGAGAAATGTAAAAATATAGGCAAGTTTGGTCCTATTTTATAGATCAAAAAATAAATGTAATGCATTATCATCGTAGAATCTTGCGGGGTTTTTTTTATTTAAAATACGATTGTGGCTATATTTAAGGGACAATATTCAGTCATTATCGCAAAAATAAACCCAATAGGGTAATTAGGGTTTATTCTGCAGTAATGGCCACCTGACTGAATATTATCACTTGAATATTGCCACAGTCACATTTGATAAATCAAAAACACACTGTAAATTATCTCACAGCTAATTATTGACTGTTGATTATTTTACTTGTAAAGACCAAAGAGAGACATCCATCCTGGATGTGTGGTCAGTTATACATCGTTTCTCTGGTCAATGTTTATTATTGTGAAATATCTGACTAGTGAATGCCAAGAATGGCCAATCAGAATCAAGTATTCCAGACAGTCATGTCATGAAGTGACACAAATATCATTATTAACACAAGTGTTGACACAACTACTTCCACTTTTCATTCACTGTGAGGACGTATTTTCAGACTATTAAAACGGTCTGACACTCTATTACCTCAGGCTCACACAACTGAAAAGTGGGTTACAGAACATTTGGCACAATCTAAGGGCCCCTTATAATGGTTACTCGTAATGACTGCAGGAGTGGAATGTACTATACTGTAAGCGAGCATGACATCTGAAAGACAGGATGATGCATGCATCTTAATTTTGGTATAAGTTACACTGAGAAACTGCTGACAAATGGAAGCAGCAAGGTTTAAAAAGAAACACAAGGGCTGGAACCATCGAACTCTGACTTGTAGACAGAGATGAGGAGGAAAATCGTGTCATCTGGTGAATCTGGAAGCAGAGAGACCCCATCAGTTTGGCATGCTTCTTGGAACATTCTCCAGCCAGAACATGTGGAAACAGAGAACGGGGTCGTGCTGTGGCACGGATGGGAATGTCAGACAGCAGGTGATTTTTTTGCATTCTTTGCCAAGACTAATCAACTCTAATAAGAGAACATCAGCCAGCCGACATCTCCCCAAACAAGGAACGCGCCAACCTTTTGTGCTTTCCAGAACGCCTCCAACCTTTTGTGCTTTCCAGAAGTTAAATAACTATAGTAGGCCTATCAAATCGGGATTGTTCAATGGCGGTTATTCGTAACCGATAAACAGAACTATTCTGCAGCATAGACAGACACTCAGAAGGCAAACATGTTTGTGTTAAAAAGAACTATGACCACACATGTCAATATCGTAAGATAATAATCTAAATCCTGTTTGCCTTCTGCACTCATACCAGCCCATCTTTGACATCTTAACTTCCATCCCGCTTCACGACAACAACAAATAAACACCACTCTGTCCTTATGGGACCCTTTCAGCTGGGTGTGACCTGAAAGCAGGCTTTTGCATGTAAGAGACCCCATCAGATACATCTGCTTGGTGCATCCTGATGGTATAAATCTTGGCATAAACCCCTTGGCCAGTACGGACCAGTATTTTCATCGTCTTCCACAAAAGCACTCGGAGACTTCTCTGCACTAAAAGACGACTCATGAACTCTCGATTAATGGTATCTGGGTCAAAGGACAACTAGAACTTTATGAAGTCCTCCAAAGAGATCAGATTTATCTGGTTGACTAGGCTGATGGATTGCATTATTAGCTGCTGGCATATATCATCTTGTGTACATTCCAGTGAAAACACTGCCCCAATTATCCACACGGTCCCTTCTCCAAAATAAACTATTAAGCGGCAGAATCTCCTTTGGTTGAATCGCTGCATCATAAAGCAACGTTCTCAATGCAGGTGCTCATTCAATCCGCTTGTTAAGTCTGATGTCACGTGTCACTGGGTCCACACGTTCTATCAAATCCCAAAAGCAAACAATAAACGGTGCTAATATTCACTCACAATGTGCTGTAATACTAATGAAAAATCATGATCCTAACCTTTATCTCCATACAGAAATCTCAGATGGCCAGACAGCGACTCATCTTTTATGAATTGTTAAAATATTGGTGCCCAGGATACCGTGAGCCCAGAGACTGTAGTTTATACCTTTAGTTTTTAAAAGCTTTGTTTGAATGTGTGAATAAATAGTACTTATAAACGGCTGTTGAGATTGAGTGCTCTCAATTGAAACAAGTAGAGGCTTGGACCCAGAAACTGTATTTCTTGCGTCACAACTTAACATGTTGTTGATAAACAGGTTTAATTTTTTTTAAAACTTTTTGGCTTTGTAATTCGTAACAAAATATCATTACTGGACCTTCTGTGATGTATGCCAGACTTTTACAATCATTTCGTTTGTTTAAACCCCATGCTCAAGTTCGTCTGCATCCATTTTTTGAGTGCAATGCCCACGTTAACATCCAATCAACAACCAAACCAAGAACCAAATCCCTGCTCTACATTTTTTCTTTTTCGATAATGTTCGGAAGTATGTCACAATACAGAAGAAAAGATTCTTCACCACTAGTGTTTCACAAGTAGTTTTCTGCATCTGAAAGATCATGAAAAGGTTAAAAAAGTAACTAATACTACAATGATACATAAAAAAGCTTGACTTCTATCAAGTGGCCAATCTTTTTAGCATTCTTAGAAGCAACAGGGTTAATGGTGCGACTCTCCCACAAGCAAATTACCGTAGTCGGCAGAGAAATGGAATCCCTCGCCTTCATTGTTACCATGGCAAAGATTACTAGAATGCTCTAACATTTTCACAGATGATGCAGAGAAAGTAACCATCATATAGCCAGAGTAAGTATCCTGGGCAAAGGAATGTTTTCAGATACAATAATGGGTTGAAAGCTGGAGAAGTGCTTGATGATTTCTAAAAGGAAAAATAATTCCTCTTTCTCTCTCTCTCTTTCTTTCCACCCCATTACACATTCTCTCTCCCTCTCTCTCTCTCTCTCTGTCTCTCAGTCCCAGCCCCTGAAGGTGTCATAACTGTGCTTTCTCCCTCTCGCTCTCTATCACCGCCTTTCAAATCTTTAAAAGCCGCTGCTTGCCGTTTCTCACTCATTCTCGGTTTGTATCCTCTGGCATTGCAGGGGACTCCCGGCTCTCAGTCTCACTAAGCTGAAAAGCGAGCAAAGAAACAGAGAGGGCAAAGACAAACAGACTTCCAGAAATAGCATCAGCCACGTACGGCACAACCGAGCATGGAGAACCTGAGACCCGGACGCAAGATGTCCTTCCTTTCCAACTTGACGCCCGTTGTCCTGTTGCTGATCATCCACTGTGGATCTTGGTCTTTGGCAGGTCGCTTGGGCCCCAACAAAAACTGCCTGACCTGCAAAGACGTGCACCCCTTGGGTGCGGGCCGGACCTCCAGGGACCCGGCTGGGGCGCCCAGCACAATCGTGTTGGCATTGGGGGAGCCCTGTGGGGTTTACACCCTGAGCTGCGCCAAGGGGCTTCGCTGTGTGCCCCCTCCACGTGAACACAGGCCCCTTCAGGCTCTGCTGCAGGGCAGAGGCTTCTGTGCCAAACAGAGCAGAACGAGTCCCACCGAGAGGCCCCGCCCCACAGGTAAGAGTTTCAGCCAGCGGATGCCTTTGCAGTCCCTTCCTCCGTCTTGTAGCTTCGCCGGCGTTGTGCTGTGCCGCATACGGTGAGAAAATGCAATGGGTAATCTGCTTTAAGTACCACAGCGAAATATCTCGAGGATGCATTTCAGGTTCAGATGTGCTGGCAAGCTGCTGTGCTGCAGTGTCCATATCAGAGGCTTGGTAGGATGACAAAACTGTAACTGAACCAAGGACATGTTCATAAAGTGCCGGGAATAGCTGCTGGTTTGCATGTGATGGCTGCAAATTCCTTCAGGGTTTAAAGGCATTTCTGTGATTTGAGGCTTTCGCACGTCGTAAATACACATGATGAAGATCACTTGGAAATTTGTGAATGTGCAAGGGTTGTATATGAGTACAGGTGTGTGTGTGTGTGTGTGTGTGTGTGACAGTATATGAATTTTGCCATGCATATGGACATCAGAACTATTCAGAGCAGAATAGAGAGGAGCAACAGAGGAGATAAAGTAATGTGTAATGTGTGTGTGTTCTTGAGTGTATATCAGTGTCACCCACATTCCTAGTGTCATTTCAAGTAGCAGGTGAAATGTAGTCATGCAGTCTCCATCTACTGTTTACTTTAGGTCATTACAACTTAAGAGAGCCTGTATTGTCAATTCATGGGAATGATTTGAGGAACTATTCCCTAAAAATGTGGGTTTGTCCAGTTTAAGTAACCCAAATCAAACAACATATACTCTTAAATCACAGCTAAACATATTCATTTAGTCGAATCACATTTTGTAATGCCTTTTTCTCAAAAATGCAGTCATAATTCGGTATTAATGTCTGTTTTTCACAGGGCCACATCCTTCGAATAGTGGTGAAATAGAAAAGGTGAGTCTATCCTTTGGTTTTTGTTTTCTATAATCAATGCTCACGATGTAAACAGCATGGACAAGACAAAAATCTACTGGAAAAGGGCTAATTATTTTCTATTATTAATTATGTTTTATATCAATTGTTAAATTAAAATTAAATGTTAAAGAGACGTCAGCTTGTGGCTGTTAAATTAAAGCAGAACTTTTATAATAATTATAGAATTTAATATAATTATTATTTTATATTATTACACCAAACTCATTTGTGTACGTTGTCTCAGCTTACGTTATATACAAAAAAAAATCTGTCTCGGAACAGAATAGAACAATCAAAATGCCTCTTAGAAATATACATAATACAAATGCTTAGGTACCGTATGTGGTATTCCAACATTTTGTTTTCAACACTTCCTCACCAGGCTCCCTGTCGTAAGCTGCTCAACACTGTCTTGCGGGGTCTCGAACTCACCATTTTCCAGTCGGATCGGGACATCTACATCCCGAACTGTAACACTCGTGGTTTCTACAGGAAAAAGCAGGTACTGGTTGACTAAATTAATATAATATCATGCAGGAATTTCATTTTCAAGATTCAAGTGGCTTTACTGACATGGTAAAAAGGCTTTACATTGCCAAAAAATTGGTAACATTATCATTTAGAAGGATCATTTTATCACTGATTACTCTTATTGATAGGTCTTCTGGTTTTTTAAAAATAACAGTATCTACCTTACTTCCTTGTGGAAGTTCAGAAGCTGTTTTTCCAGCTTAGTTTCCATAAATGAACTGAGGAGGAAGTTTCGATATCGGAAGGTCACCATTATGAGCCATTTTGTATTGTGAATGACAACCTTTGACGGTGTGCACAGTAGAATGACGTATCAAAGCCAGAACAATCTCCTGTTGTCTTGTAGTGTCGGTCCTCTAAGGGCATGCAGCGTGGCCACTGCTGGTGCGTCGACTATATATATATATATAATTTGTTGATTTATTTAATGAATTACGATGCCATGTATTTTTATATTGTCAGTAGTTTTTCATTGTCAAAACAGAGCTTATTTTATTTGCTAAGAGAGTGAGCGCCATGCGTTGGTGTCACCATAAAAAGGGATTAAAAACAAAAATACAATTTAAACACACCCTTAAGAGCATTTACTGCTGTACATGTGTTTCTGTTTTTTTATATAATTTGTTATTTTATGTCACAGTTGTTTCATTATTTATGTTGATATGTTGATCCTTCAGTATTGGAAAGTGTTACTATATCGCTTAATTTTCTATATTTCAGATGGTATTCTGGGTATTTTGTTCAGAACTCTGTGTTTTCTCATTCCCAAAATGCATTGAGGAAAAAGTGCACAAAATAATGTCTGATCAATGTACTTCACACTGATTTTGTTTTATCGATATATGTGCCAGTAGTTGTGGGCCCTTGAAAAGGGACCCATTGCAAAAATTATAACGTGTGCAAGAACTATGAGACAAAATAAAAATGATAGAGAAAAAATTAATGCATATGTTAATATAAAGACTGACTCTTTGCAGAATCTCATTTAGAAACTCACATGCATGAAACTGAATATGATAAATTATGAATACTACCAAATGCACATGCACAACTGAAAATGCACATGCACAACTGAACTGAAACCCAGAGGCGATGAATTAGCAAAGGCAACAAGAAAGAGCAGATGCTGCTGTTGGCTGCAAAAATATAGCCATATGCTCATACAAATGTCACATACAAATATCGCCTTGTGCATACTGAGCTACAGTGGGGAAAATATTTATTTGATCCCCTGCTGATTTTGTAAGTTTGCCCACTTACAAAGAAATGAATTTAATAATTTTTATGGTAGGTTTATTTTAATGTATAGAGACAAAATACCAACCAAAAAATCCAGAAAAAACACATTATATAAAGGTTAGAAATTGATTTGCATTTCAGTGATTGAAATAAGTATTTGATCCCCAAGCAAAACATGACTAAGTACTTGGTGCAGAAGCCCTTGTTGGCAAGCACAGAGGTAAGACGTTTTTTGTAGTTGGTCACCAGGTTTGCACACATCTCAGGAGGGATTTTGATTTACTCCTCTTTACAGATCCTCTCTAAGTCTTTAAGGTTTCTTGGCTGTCATTTGGCAACTCGAAGTTTCAGCTCCCTCCACAGATTTTCTATTGAGCTCTGGAGACTGGCTAGGCCACTCCATGACCTTAAGGTGCTTCTTCCTGAGCCACTCCTTTGTTGCCTTGGCGGTATGTTTCGGGTCATTGTCATGCTGGAAGACCTATCTTCAGTGTTCTGGCTGAGGGAAGGAGTCAGCACTTTCTCTCAAGCCTTCTCTGAATCATTTAGATGTTCTTTGGCAAACTTTAAACGGGCCTGTACATGTGCCTTCTTGAGCAGGGGGACCTTGCGGGCACTGCAGGATTTCAGTCAATTCCGGCGTAGTGTGTTACCAATGTTTTGCTTGGTGACTGTGGTCCCAACTGCCTTAAGATCATTAACAAGCTCCTCCCGTGTAGTTCTGGGCTGATCCCTCACCTTTCTTATGATCATCCTTACCCCATGAAGCGAGATCTTGCACGGAGCTCCAGACCGAGGCCGATTGATGGTTGTTTTGTATTTCTTCCATTTCCGAATAATCGCACCAACAGTTGTCTCCTCACCAAGCTTCTCGCTGATGGCCTTGTAGCCCATTCAAGCCTTGTGCAGATCTACAATCTTGTCTCTGACATCCTTTGACAACTGTTTGGTCTTGCCCATGGTGGTGGGAGAGGTTGGAATGGAATGCTGCGTTCAAGTCCTCCAGGGACGTTCGTACTTACGAGTTGACAAGTCGTAATTACGACGTCAGGTGCGTTCAAGTCAGTTTAGTCGGCACAAGATGGCGGTGTACCTTCTTTTAATAAATTACAAGAAAATACAACAGGGTCTGCATTTTTTTACTTGGATTTCAGCTGCGTAACAAGAACATGACCAATTTAAGTTTATAGGAAAACTAAATTATCAATTTAAGCAAAAATGTACCGTCAACTACAGACGTTGCATCCATCGATTCCGCCATGTTTCTCATTGACACGCCCCCAACTCGGAAACTCGGGGCTTAAAGAAAATTTCGAGTTTCCCACTCGTAATAACGACTTTGTGGTGGCGTTCATGTGCGTTCAACTCGCAAATATGATCTATCCGACATGACTTGAACGCACTATCTGTTCCCTCAATCAGGGAATGAGGGTGACAATAGAAACCAAGACATTCCCTGATGGAGGTCTTACCTCTGTGCTTGCCAACAAGGGTTTCTGCACCAAGTACTAAGTGATGTTTTGCTTGGGGATCAAATACTTATTTCACTCATTGAAATGCAAATCAATTTCTAACCTTTATATAATGTGTTTTTTTCTGGATTTTTTGGTTGATATTCTTTCTCTATCTGTTAAAATAAACCTACCATAAAATTACAGACCCTTCATTTCTTTGTAAGTGGGCAAACTTACAAAATCAGCAGGGGATCAAATAAATATTTTCCCCACTGTATGGTGACTGTGCATTTTTGCGAGCCCAGAACAGATTTTGCTTACTAAAAATAACTTTATGCTTTATCAGGGTAGAATATTTTGTTATATCAGCCAAGCAGTTAAATATAATGCTATTTATAGTCCAGTTTTCATGAATATAAAGGAAAGATTAAATATTGCTGGAGCTTTTGTGCCAAGACAGATTCATGCACATATATGTCACAACAATCCATGTGCTTGTTTCCAAGGTAACAACATATAGCAGAATATAGCATATGTCTGTGCTTACATCATGTCCTACTTTGTACCACTGTCACTTGGAGAGTTTATTCGCGCTGTAACGAAAGCAACATTTTTGAATGCATTATTCGCTGTGTCGAATCTAGTTATCAAAAACTATGGAAGCCAAAATATAGAATCTGCAAAGGAAGATGTGACCAAATATATTTAAGTATGTTTACCCACATACATTGCTGACATTAGATATACAATCATTCAAAAAAAAAAAAAAAAAAAAAAGTCTTCCCAGACATTTCGGCTATTGCTAGGACAACCCACTTTACGTGTTAAATGATAAGTAAACTAATTATAGCTAATTTCGACAGATTTTAGGAAAATGTGAGTTGTGTTTACCTGTGTAAAAGTTCACAATGCTAGCATGGCTTGGGTGGTTGCCAGAGTGTTGCTATGTGATTTCTCTCATTTCGCGCATTGTTATGCAGGCAGGTGGTTGCTTACTGGCCCAAACGTCAAACAACTCCACTCCAAAAGTCTACTGATATTCTGATCTCTACTACGGCTGAGTTCTTACTTCAGTCAAGGTAAATCTCCCCACTATTTGAGGTATTTCTTGTGACGGGAAGTAAGACTCAATTTCGCGAATCGGTTCTTTCGAACAATTCTTTTCAAATAACCAGATGATTCTTTCGTGTAGTTTACGTAGCCACTGGCATGATGACGTGCTACATTAAAGACTGTAGAATACCCTCTAAAATGTCTCAGTAAACCCATGTAGCACTATGCGTTTTTTTCCTTTCGATTAAGATTAATTATTATTGTTTATTGTAATTGTATGCATCCCAGCTCAGGTTGTCGCAGCCGTGATTCGGCTTAAATAGGCTAAATCCTATTGCAAGCCATTTAGAATCTAAATATAATTCGAATTTACATTAAACAATACTAATTCTCTTCTGGCTGAACATTTTTTGCACATTTTATTAGCCTTTTAGGCTAAATAGCTACAGCATGTTTCGTATTCATGTTGATAAAACTATGCTTTTCTTGATTTCTACGTCTTTCTATTTCTTGAAAACTACATCAAATTCTCGATTCCACTGATTGATTCGGCTCATTTTGTTTGGCATGTTTCCGCTCGAATCGCTGATTCGAGAACCGCTCGGACCGATTCAGTCCGATTCGAAAACTGACCGTTTTTTTTGTGTTTTTTGAACCGGTTCAACCGATTCATTGAAAAGATCCACCTCAAAACAACGGTTCGTTCGGACATGTCAACCGCAGGAACGATTCAGACGAAGTTTAATAGTTATGGTTAGGTTAACATTGATATTGTTTCAGGGTCTCATCTCACCTGTACGTCCGCAAACTACGTGACGTACACTCAGGTGAGAGTCTGACACATTCTTGCTGTTACAATATATCAAGCTCTGTTCCTCTGAACTTGTGGGAGGAGCATCTGTATCACTGCTACACTTCAGCAACCTAGTGTTGTTCACTTCCATGAAGAATCGGTCCATCTGGGCCTGCAAACACAGCGGAAAACCGGCCTCCGCAGCATAGCGCTTGTGTTGTTTTCGACCTTTGATTGTCAGTTAGAGGAACCGGAGCAGGAACAGAGGGAGGCGGATCCGAGAGGAAAATAGACCGCTGTGTTACAGGGGAGTGACCGTGATGATGGCGTCCCTCGGTAACACCGGCAGCGCCTCCAGCCCGATGGTCATGCTCGCCCCCAAAACCAAGACCAAAAAGAAACATTTCGTGCAGCAGAAGGTCAAAGTGTTCCGGGCGAGCGACCCGATGCTCAGCGTGTTCATGTGGGGCGTTAATCATTCGGTAAGGTGGTATATGATATACTTAACTTCCTACATCACACAACTGCCATTTTATGAGCTAACAGTTAGCTGCAAGTACGTATGTTGGGGAATAGAGATATTTAAATGCATTATCTATTATTTAAGTACATGATTTGTGTATATTGTTGATATGGATTTTGGCACACGGGGTCACGCTCAAACCGGACACATTGTTTCATTGCACGCGGCGGATTTGCAACTGTCTGTTGTTAGCGATGTTCGATTTGCGAACGAATCGTTCTTTTGAGTCGGATCTTTGAAATAGAATTGGTTCACAACTAGTTTCTCGACGATTTGTGGCGAATCAGACTGAATCGGGCCAAGCAGTTCACCCGATTCTGAGCATTATTTTACTTTTAGTATTGTTTAATTGACATGCAAATCGTATTTAGGTTCTAAATGACTTTGTTTTTATTATTTGAATTGCCTATGCAACAAATTTAACTGGGACATATGAAATTACAATAATCACTCATGTAATACGTACGAAAATAAAACATTTTAAACATATGTACCTATATATAACTCTGATTGAACGTTTTAGATAATATTCATCTCCGGAATGACGGACCAAAGGATTATGTACTTAACGTCATGAGTTAAACGAATCACTGAATCATTCTTTGAACGGTTCTTTGATACTGTTCGAAAGAGCCGTTTGGCAAATGAGTCAGATTTCATATGACTAAATGGTGTAGAGAAAGTAATTTTTGTCGAAATATGCTTTTAATATCTTAACTTTGTCTTGTCTATATAATGTTTTTCTGCATTTAAATGTTTCATGCAAAAAAACAATTTAGTAAAAATGCACGACTAATATGGCTATGCAGTGAGTCTAAATCATAGTGTTTTTAATTATGACTGAAATTCCCAAAGGAATCCTGTAAACGTTCATTTTTGGGATCCTGGAGGAAGTGATTGCTTTTAGAGGGATTTTATGTTATTTGAAGCATTTGGTTGTTGCCAGAGATGGGCAGTATTTTAATGAAATTTATTTAAAATGCGTATTTAATTACTTTTGAGTATTTTGTAATCTGTATTTTGTTGGACAAAAAAAAGCAAATGTGCTAATAGTACATCCAGCTATAGCCTATCACATTTTTTGACTAGATTCAGGCGAATCAATTCGTTCATGGTTCCATCTTCCAACTGAAAAACAAAAAACAAAACAATGAAAGAAGCTGTTTTGGTGCTCAGTGCAAACTGGCCAAGTATGTGCTAAAATATATTCTATCAGATATTGCTCTCTGAATGTTATTACAGGACAGAAGGAAAAGCTGTGCTGCTCTACAACTTTGCTTTTTATGTGAAGGACTCAGGGCAGTTTTGCTGGGAAAATCCAGGGAAAGGGAAATGATCATAACAGTGCAATTTTAATGAACCTCATCTGTTGACATGATGTCGGTGAATCACATTGGCCGTCACTCGCTCGCATTACTATGGAGTGTGTGCAAGAGCATGAGCAATAAGTTGCATCACTTAATGGCCACCGGTGTCGCTATAACAAGGGTTCCTGAATTCTACATAGAATTAACAGCTAAATAGCTTAACAGCTTAATATCAGCATTTTCAGGAGTTAATCTCTAATGTGTTGACAGTAAAAATAGCTTGGCGGTATGACAATTTCGCAGGACTGCTTAATTTTTGACACGCTGATAAAGAAACGATAAAGGAGCGATAAAGAAACATGAAAAAATAAAGTTTAGGCATGCTTGATGGTATTCAAGAAAACATAGTCGGTTGTGTCTTAAGTGAACATTAGAAATGAGAAGAAAAATGGGTCAATTTATTGGATATATTGTCTAGTGTTAGGGTTAAAGAATTATGTTGTTTAGAAGTTGTTCAAGGAGGCAAAAGCACTTCTCTTTCTCTTATGTGTGTATTTAAAGGGTTAGTTCACCCAAAAATGAAAATTCTGTCCTTAATTACTCACCCTCGTGTTGTTTGAAACCCGTAAGACCTTCGTTCATCTTCGGAACACAATTTAAGATATTTTTGATGAAATCTGAGGGCTCTCTGACCCTCCCATAGACAGCAAGGTAGCTACCACGTTCAAGGTCCAGAAAAGTACCAAGATGATCGACAAAGTAGTCCGTGTGACATAAGTGGTTCAACTGTAAAGTTACGAAGCTACGAAATAACTTTTTTGCGCAAAGAAAACAAAAATAACGACTTTATTCCACACTTTTGTCTCTACTGCGTCACTTGTGGCACTAAACACTTGTGACGGCGCTGTCATCACGGCGGATCTGGGTCAGCGCCGGCGCCACCACACGCTCGCGTCATAGTACTGCCGCGAACGCGCGTCCACAAGTAACGCAGTAGAGACGAAAATGTGGAATAAAGTCGTTATTTTAGTTTTCTTTGTGCAAAAAAGTATTCTCGTAGCTTCGTAACTTTACAGTTGAACCACTGATGTCACACGGACTACTTTGTCGATCATCTTGGTACTTTTCTGGACCTTGAACGTGGTAGTTACCTTGCTGTTTATGGGAGGGTCAGAGAGCCCTCAGATTTCATCAAAAATATCTTAAATTGTGTTCCGAAGATGAACGAAGGTCTTACGGGTTTCGAACAACACGAGGGTGAGTAATTAATGACAGAATTTTCATTTTCGGGTGAACTAACCCTTTAACTCCAGTATTACTAAATGTAATGGCACTGTCTCTTGCACTTCGAATGATTGCTTCTAAATATTGTTTGTATTTTCAAATTACAAATGACTTGTATTTTAAATACATTTCTCACACCAGTATTATTTTGTATTATAAATTAAATACATTTGATGAGCAAGTATTTGTAATTTGTAGCAAACTACTTTTTGATGTATTTGTGCCCATCTCTGGTTGTTGCATAATTGCGAGACTGGGAAATCTTCATGCAATGACGTGTTAGAAGAGGGCGTATATAAGCATTGAGTCATGCAGCGTTAGGATATGGAAAATCTGCAAGTGCAAAGTTCATTTCAGTTGCAAAATGTTGTTTTTCCTAAACTGTTTTTCCAGATAAATGATTTGAATCAAGTTCCAGTGCCTGTCATGCTGCTCCCTGACGACTTCAAGGCCAACACCAAAATTAAAGTGAACAACCATCTCTTCAACAAGTATTTATCAAAAGCACATCATTATTTTACACAGATTTTCATTGCACTGTGTGTTCGCTGTGTCTACAGCTGCATGTGAACTTGTTCTTAGAAGCAGGAACGTTTACATTCATTTAAATTAATTCTTGTGATGACAGTGAAAGAGTGTAATTGGCAGCTTTTTCTGCAGAACAGCCGTTCCATCTTCAGGGGAATGAGAACTTTTTTTTAAAAAGTTTTTAATATGAAATTATCCTTCTCTACCTTGCAGGGAGAATCTTCCAGGCCATTTTAAATTTAAGGAGTACTGTCCGCAAGTCTTCAGGAATCTCAGGGAGCGATTCGGAATTGAAGATCTTGACTACCAGGTGACCTTTTTACCTTTATTTAAAAAAAAAAAAAAAACTAAACTTTTTGTGCATTGCATTAATTGAGGAATCAGCTTCTATTTGGACATCAAACATTCAAAGTTCTCAAATACATGTGAGCAGTTGTTGTCACTTGTCAAACTGCTAAATTGGTCTGAATTTTTGTGCTTGCATGCATGGATGTTTTCCATCAGGTGTCCCTGGCCCGCAGTGCTCCCATGAGAGGCGATGGACAGGGGGAAGGTCTTCTCTTCACGTCCTATGACCGTACACTGATAGTAAAGCAGATCTCCAGTGAAGAAGTAGCTGATATGCATAACATTCTCTCCGAGTATCACCAGGTATCTCACAACATACTGGTCAGGACATGCACCGTTAAGTCACGCTATATCAAAAGTTATATTTAATCTAACAGATAGTTAATATCTGCTCAACTGCTGTATCCTTCATGAAAGTGTCTTATGCACATTGGTATTTACATACAAGTATGATTCTAGAAGTGGAGACAGATCTGAAACTAGTATGACAACCAAATTGTTAGGAGGCACTGTCTGATTTATTAAACTTTAGCTTCAAAAGCTGGTTGCAAACAATACAGGCACATTATATGACAGGCATTTGTGTTTCAATTTAAGCATTTTTGCTGTCCACTTCAACTGAAATGTATTTGTGTACCATTTTAGTTTACATATTACACAAGTTTGCTTGCGTTGGAGAAATAATCAGACAAAAGAATTCAGACTCCAGCTATTTTTATGTTTAATTACCCAGTTGGGATCTGCTGGTCTGTTGTTCATTTCCTCTTCACACTGTCACACAAAACTTGTTCAGTCACTATAGTCATTTTCATGTTCCATCACACTTCCTTGAAATAGGTAAATTGCTCTTTTAATAATTGACAATGAGCTTTTGTTCTGGGTGCTTATGGGTATAGCAAGTTGTTTTATGTTGTGTTTATGGTTGATACAGCGGTAGTCTTAGATTGTGTACATCTTTTGGCATGCATACGGCATCATGATAAAGTTTTCGGTTATCATTGTGGTGTTATATTCACAGGTATGTTTGTCATGAGTAGTTAATTTAGCCCACTGCTGAAATTGTCCAAAAACAGCCACCATGAATGGTGTCCATCCTTAGATTTATTTATTTATTTATTTTATTTTTAATTTTTTGTGAAAGAAATTAATACTTTTATTCACTAAGGAGACATTAAATTAATTAAAATTGACAGTAAAGCCATTCATAATGTTACAAAAGATTTCTCTTTCTATTTTCTTTCGTGAATCGTGAGAAAGGTGTCACAATTTCCACTAAAATATTAAGCAGCATAACAGTTTTCAACATATATATATATATCATTTTTATTTATTTTCAGGATTCTTGTGATGAATATAAAGTTCAAAAAGAACAGCATTTATTTTAAATATAAATCCTAAATGTATCTTTGCAGAAAAATGTATTAATTTCTTTTAAAAAAAATCATACTGACCCACACATTTTTAAATGCAGTGTGTATTATTATAAAATAATCATCATAATGTTTATAATAATATAACTGTATCTGTTAGTAATTATGTGAATGGCCAGAGTGTCTCTTTTGGTGTAAACGGGCCTTAAAGGTGACATATCATGAAAATCTGACTTTTCCAGGTTTTAAGTGCTATAATCAGGTCCCCGGTGCATCTACCAACCAAGAAAATGTGAAAAAAATTAACCCAGTAACTTTGTTTTGGTAAGCCTTTTTCTGCAAGCGTCTGAGAAAACAAGCGCATCTGATCTCGCTCCTTTAGTGACGTTGCAAAGGGATCTCATTACAATATTACCGCCCCTTGTAAATTTCCTCCCACGGCGCCGTCATTTTGATTTAGCAAAGGTGTACCAGTTCTAATGCCATGGCAAAAGTTTGAGGTAACAGTTTTCAACATTTATAATAATAAATGTTTCTTGAGCAGCAAATCAGCATATTAGAATGATTTCTGAAGGATCATGTGACACTAAAGACTGGAGTAATGATGCTGAAAATTCAGCTTTGCATCACAGGAATAAATTACATTTTCAAACATATTTTAATAGAAAACAGTTATTTTAAATTGTAATAATATTCTTACAGTATTTTTGATAAAATAAACACAGCCTTGGTAAGTATAAGAGACTCCTTTTACAAACAATAAAAGATACCGACTCCAAACTTTTGAGCAGTATTTAAATGTATTTGTATTTTTAGTTTTTTTTTGGATGTATATCTTTTTAAAACTCTTGTTTTTGTGCTCGTGTAAGTGTTGGGTTAGCGTAGCGTTTGAGTGCCTCTGTGTTGTTTGCAGTGCTGTGACGGCCATGAGATAAGTTTGTGTGAGTGGGTTTCTCAGTTTCCATTGTAGCAGAATGAGCAGATTTTAATCGAGACTGTGCTTCTGCATTTGCACTGCCTTTACAGTATATTCACAACATGTCCTGAGGGTGCACTAGCACGTGTCCCAGACTCTATAATGACAAATTTCTTACTAAATGTTAAACTCTAAGCTAATATTTGTTTTTTAAGTGCTATTATCATGCATTTTCCTTCATATTCCGTTCAGTTTTAGTTCAGCACTGCTGATAAGAAGTTAGTTTAGGTGTGCAGTGATGCAGAGAGGGAAAAAACACTGTCATTTATTAAGCCTGTGGGCTTGTCATGGTGCTGCTCAAAGTTGGTTCATTGGTTATGAACTGTGTTCCACTGAATGAACATTTTGACTCTGAAGCTTTATGGGTAAAACTCACAGAATATAATTCCATATGTTTTGTGTTGTGTCTCGCAGCATATCGTGAAGTGTCATGGCAGTACACTCCTCCCTCAGTTTCTGGGCATGTACCGGGTTACGGTGGAGAGTGAGGACACGTATCTGATCGTCATGAGGAACATGTTCAGCCACAGACTCATTGTCCACAGGAAATACGACCTAAAGGTAGGAACTGTTCCTGGCGACAGAGATGAGATGTTGTTGCTTCAGGATTGTTTTGACTCTGATGCTGTGTGCCTGAACTTTTCATAGCGTGACTGATATTTGTCTTTGCACACATCATTAACTTCATGAGCATTGAGCAAACAGCACCTAAATCATGCAGCACATCCCCTTAGACCTGGTTTAAGAGATTTAGGTGGACGTGATTGATGAATAGTTCATGAATAGTACCTCAAGATGTAGCTGTTATTGAGGAACCGATTGCTGGGCTTCACTGTCAGAGTTGTAAATTGAAACTCTAAAATTGCATTCTTATGGATGAAATTCAATGAGAACAAATTTTTTTCCCCATCCTGTTGAATAGGCAATATAATATATTTATTGCAAAATAAAATTAAGAAAAATTATTAAAATTATTATTATTATTAAGACTATAATAGTATCATATTTTTATATTTGCACTTCAGTAGCATGTTAGGATAGAGTTAATGACTTTGATTAATTTACATGAATCAATTCAAACTGTCAGTAAATAAGTTCAGTACAATTATTAATATTTTGGTAATATTCTTGCTGTGTTTCAATGAAAATTTATGTAAAACCATTTTTTTTATTAAGTTTGATTTATTTCTATGAATCACTTTAAGTTGTCTTTCTCAGGGAATTGATCCAACTCGGAGTCAAAATGTTTTGGTTCTTACATTTAACATTTTTGAACAACATGGAAACAATGGCTGGTTGTAAAATGAATCACAAATGTTTATATATTTGCTTTATATTATATTTACGCTACCATTTATACTATGTATACCAAAGGTTTGCAGTTGGTACCATTTTTAAAAATGTTTTGGAAAGTCTCTTCTGCTCACCAAGACTGCATTTATTTGATGGAAAATACAGTAAAAACCGTAATATTGTGAAATACTATGAAAATTAAATATATATATTTTTTTTAATGTAATTTATTCCTGTGACATTTTATTTCTCCAGTGTTTAGTGTCACATAATCCTTCAGAAATCATAATCTTAATGATCCTAATATGCTGATTTGGTGCTGAAACATTTATTATTATTATTAGTATTATTATTATTGTCAATGTTGAAAACAGTAGTGCTGTTTAATATATTTGTGGAAACCATGATATATATATATATATATATATATATATATATATATATATAATTATATAACTATTTTTTGATAATAATTTTATCACATAATTTTAATGATTATTTGATAATAATAATGAATGTTTCTCAAGCAGCAAATCAGCATATTAGAATTATTTCTGAAGGATCATG